AATGTTCTTACGAGCTTGTATGCGGAATCCCCATGTACACGCCCGCGCGAGACGACTTTACACAAGGTGAGACGTCTTAACCCGACTACCTTGTATACTATAGCATAGCATAGCATAGTATAGTATAGTATACTATAGTATAGTGTCGCATAGCAACCTGCTGGTTGTTGGTTGTCGGCTTTTTGGAACATGGACATGCCGGTCCTGCCTGCACGGATGATTGCTTTCCGATCTTCTTCTTTACGCCCTTGGCGTGGGCAGGGGCCGGCGCTCCTGGCAAGAGTCGCGTGATAGATTGGATCAGATAAATCTTCAGACTTGGAATGACTTGGATGTAACAAGGCCCGCAAGTCATACTGAAGCAGATCCCTGCTGCAGGATTTCTTGTTTGGAACAGGGGCAACTTAATCATTACCCCTGTTGTAGCTTGGGCTCTGAAACAATGATCCTTCTCATGGAAGCTGCCATCCAGTCCTTTCTGGACGGCTGCGCCCTCGGAAGTAGGGGCGTGCTTGCCTCGAGTGGCATGTGGTTGCAGCATGGTGCATCACGGCTGAATAGAACGGCAGAGGCAGCAGGTGTGCGCTGGGCTGCAGGAGGTAGTAGGAGATACTACCGCGGGTATGATGAGGGAGCTTGACAGTGAGCTGCTGCTATGCATTGACGGCGGCACCCGCTGCCTCCGTAGCCCCCATCGGTGCACATGTACGCTTGCGGCACGCGTCCACGACACTCATGATCTAGAGCAGGCTTGCGACTACCGGAGGCGACGCTACAGAATGGCGAAGCTCACCACCGTAATCACAATCTGGCGATTCCTACTGCCACTTACAGTAGCTTGTTGAAACAAACGTTAGGATATGTCGCCCGCTGATGCAATTTGCGCCCTGCCTCCCAGCTGCTTCTTGGCACGCTTCTTGGACGCCTCACCAGACATCACGCGGGGGCTTGCTATCCAGTGGAGGGATCATGCAGGGATTCTATGGGGTTGCAGGGTAAAAGGGTCGTACGGATTATCAACTCTAATAAAGAATGGAGAATGACGTAGAAAACCAGGGGAAACAACATGGAAACTGGGATGTTTTATAGGCTTCTGGGGAAGGCAAACTAATTGATCAGGGGCCCCTTTTGCAAGTCCCTGAAGCAAGAAAGATTACAAATAGCAGCGGTGTCTAAATTGGGCCCCCCAGTTTGTGGAAACTCCCAGGTGTACTGAGTGACGGGCTCCAATACTCCCACCCGCGGAACGTAATCAGTTTTTGTTAAGGGACTCTATTCTTGAAGGGGCCAGGGATTCATATTGGGCTTGCTCAGGCTAGACTTTCAAAAATATGCAGTGAGGTTGGTTACCTCATCATGTGCGCTTCTTTTCCTGTTTACATCTTCTACATGTCCTGAAAGTCCACTGATCCTGCCTTGCCCTTCTTCGGCTTGCTGGGAGCAGGGGCTTCCTCGGTCTCCTGCGCAGCTGCCCTCATCCCTGAACCCTTTTTTCCGGAGGCACTAGCTTCAGGCTCATCCCTGACCCTACACCCACAAACTCCTGGAGTTCAAGGCAGTTCTTTGCCATGCGTCAACAGCAGTACAGGGGACCCCAGAGAGGGACCACCCAAATCCAACATGACACCCGCCGAGTTCCCTAGCCCAGAGTAGGACATGAGCCCTGGACTAAATTCGTAATATGTCCTTTCACAAGTCCCCCAAAACCCTATAAAGTCCCCTATAGTTCCCCCCAACCCACATTTAGTCCGTAGCTCACATCTGGATCTGGAAGCTCCTCCTTCTCCTGGAGCAGGCCCTGGCCCCCAAGACCACCCAGCCTCAGCTCGGAAGCTGTCAGGGAAGAGTGCGATGGAATGTGGCTTCTAAGAGGTAGCTGAACTGGACCTGGTAGCATGTTCTTAAGAAGCTCAAGGCCTGGAACTTCACACCCCTAGCGCTGAACCAGCTTTACTAAAGCCTCCTGGCCTAAGCCAGCCATGAGGCCGCAGAAACTCCACAAATCCCGAGCCCAGGATTCCACAAGCCAGGCGGCTGCCGCGCCAGCCCCCGGAGCCTTGCAGCTCGCTTCAGCTCCTCAGGGGTCTCCTCAGTTGGACTTTAGGCGAGAATGGTCCTGCTACTTCGAGAACTACGGGACGACGGCTGCAATCTTGCCATGTGCTTATACTGATTTCTAGAGATTTCTGCCTCAGAGCTCTACTGCACCATCCTTTGTGTCCGGGCTGTCACTGATGGTGAGGAAAACTACTTTGAAGCATCCAGCTCTGAGAGCAAGGCATGTTGCGTTTTGACACTATCGTCTACATGGCAAGGAGCTTGCAATGGACGATCGCAGCAGGAGCAGCGAATTTCTCTGTCGCCATGCTTGTGCGTGGGTCCTACCCGCGCATGCTTGCAACTCCAGCTCCTAAGCGTTTTGCCTGCAGTGGATTGCAAGCCCTCCACAGGCCAGTGCTTTTCAAGGAGCTGGTCGCGCATAGACGACATCGGTGCGCAGCAAATACCTTGGATCAACAAAAATAAGTTCTAGAGCTTCTCGCATTATCTTTCCAGGTGTGCACATTTTCCACGCACCATGCGCACTTGCTGACTTCTAGCTGCTAGTATCCCTGAGTCCTGAATATTCCTCAAGTCGAAACGGCTACGACTGCGGTTCCCATGCACTGTCTTTGGCGCATGAAATACTGCTCAGCGCCTCATTTTGCCAAGACTCTTGGTCCCTGTCGTGACAGCGGAACCTCAAAGTCCGCAAGATGTGCGATTCTACCGTCCGCCTGCTATTCAGGCTACAGGTCTGTGCATAGAATGGAAACCAACAATCAAGCAAGAGCTCTTCACTGGTCTGGGAAGTATGAACATGTCAAGCCTATTTCCCGTGGTGAGAGACATGAAAGACATAACATTCTTGCGAAGAGCCTAGTTCCTGCAAAGTGTACTTCTAGACGCATGGCCTACAAAATCTGGAGCTGAAAATGCAGGCCGTGCTGTCAAACCCTCAGTTCCAGGTGCAGATCCAGAAGCCTTCATGCAGCAACGGCGTGCCGCAGTCTCCATGCGGGAAGACCTAAGCGACAATTTTGCGATTGACTGTGGACTGGCACCATCACAGTCGCCACAAATATGACTCGTTGGTGGGGGTTACAAGCCTTTTCGAAACTCTGCAGCCCACGCGCCCTGCAAAAGATCCAGCCTTGAACTTACCTTCGTTAGCTAGGAATGAAGGAATGGATCCTCGTAGTAATTACAGTTGCTTCCATTTTCTTTTGCATTCATTCATTCCCAGCTAAAGGCCAGTGAAGTCAGGATGCTGTTGCCGATCCCATGCGAGGCTTGACAGGCCGGGAGTCCAGTGTTCCCTCCGCGCCTGCAGATACATATTGGGCTATATATAGGGGCAATGGAAAAGAAAATGGAAACTACTACAGTATACTAGGGTATATGTTGGGGTTATATACGGGCTAATATAAGGATTACTGGAAACTACCATAATAGTTTCCTTTTTCTTTGCCACTATCCCTATACAAGGGCAAAACAATTTGAATGTGCGCTTAAGCTTTGCAGGGGGACAGCGCGATCAAGACGTCCCACTCCCTCAAAGCCTGGGCTTGGCGTGTAGAAAGTGGTGCAGCCACCTTCGAAGTCGTCGTTCAAGTAGATGATGAACCTTTTACTGGGTTGCTGTTAAGGAAGTTTAATTTACTATATTGGGGAAACCCTATTATTTACTATATATACTCATTACGGTAACTTAATTTAAGTTCCTTAACAGCAACCCAGTTTATCTCAGCATACTCCCAACAAGGTTGCATGGAATCAAAAGCGCTTTTCTTACCTTCATACAGCTTTTGCAAGGATCCGCTAAGTGTGCGAATGCCATGGGGACGGTCCTAGTTTACGGCATGCAGTTCAGGCCCCCATTTGACAGTGAATTCCTCGTAGGTGACAAGAAGCGTGAGCTTGGATCTGGTACCACCGCCGTATGCATCGTAGACCTGAGCTCAAAGCTGAGAAGCTGAAGAAGAGGGTTTTAAGGGCTCCGGGTGGACCGCTTCAAAATCTTTTGCCATATGCATGACGCGAGGCACTCTCTCTTCCGTTTCAGTCTTCCTTCTCAAAGCGCCCACACAGACAGATATATATATATATGTATATGTATCTTAAATCTCTCTCTCTCTCTCCAGATCGCCCCCGCATGATCCTCTATGGAATCCCATTTTGGCCTTTTTGCTTCCTTCGTTCGCCTCATTTGGCTGGCCTCGAGCCACACATGTTCTCGATGTTCTCGTGGCAGTACCTTTGCTGTAGGACCCCTCCCAACAGCCAAACTGTCAACCCCTAATAACTCAACAGGAAACACAGGAAGTTAAAGTCCTAACAGCCAGGCTCAAAAAAGTCAAGCTTTTGAATGAACAGTGGAAAATTCGGAATATTCGAATAGACTATCCAATCAAAAATTAGGTTATACTGACTCTAGCCGGCCAAGTTACATCTCATGGTCGTCGCAGTGTCCGAACACCTTGCATGCCAACTTGAAGTCTTCTGCATACACCTGTCGGATCAGCTTCTTCGTCTTCTCTGTCAAAGACCATGCAGAGACATCGTTGCACTCAAAGTTGTGCAGGCTTGCCTTCATTCGGGGCGAAGCGTTCTTTGAAGTCATGAAGTCGTTAAAGCTCTCCGGTATGCCGCGCTCATCCACCCACTCAACTTCACCGAAGGGGCTTGATGCATACTCTGCTGAAGGCAAGAGGTGGCAATTCCCGCGGTAGCGGTCACCTGCCACGTACTTTGTCAGCTCCGACTGCAAGTAGCCATTCACATCACACGTGAGGTAATACTTCAAGTACTCGGCGCCCTCACGCTCCAAGTGACCTTCGCGCAAGGAAACGGCCGGCCTCGTCAACAGCTCGAAAGCTGAATCGATGCCCTGACATTGCATTCGGAACTCGTTGGCCATGCGGTCATACGGGTCTCGGAGCATGGAGAATAGCTGCTTTCCTTGCAGCTGTCGTTCTTGCACATCTTTAGGCCACATCGAGGGCGGAGTGTAATACAAATTGCAGCCAGTTTCTGAAGAGACGGCTTGCAGGTCTGGGTTAAGCTCACCCCAAAGCATGCCGCCCTCACCTTTCACTGAGTTGAGTGTTGCAAATGCCGCTGCCTTGTTGGCCCACAACATCTCGAGGTCTGAAGCAAGGATGGCCGAAATCTTGAGAACGTCCAGCTGGCCTACGCCCGCCTCCTCGACCGTATGTCCAAACGTGCAGGGCACATGGATGAACTGCAAGTTCGTGTTTAGCGGGGTCGCGTTCACCTCCACCATGGCCTTCGCATTGGTGGAATTGACCGCGTGCAAGATTGCCTCCACAGCCCCACTACTGTTGAGTCGAGGGTGGTAGATTTCCCGCGAGGTCACTTGGAGTAGCTGCTGACCTCCGGAGCCCTCCTCAGCAGCCTCAGCACCAGCCGCACTGGCCGCCACAGCATCCTTGACTGCTTCATGGCAAGCCTGGCTGGCAGTTAGCTGTGGCCAGATGCCCAGGCTGACAAGGAGCTTCAGAGCCATCTTTGTATGAAGGTTCTTCTTTGTGACGACCCAGCGGGTGAGGTTTCCTATGGTCGTCTGAGTGATCTTGAGCCGGAATGGCTACAACCCGGCACCAACTTGTTTTGTGGGGTTGAGGGCAATCATTTATCCCCTTGACAATGTAGATGCAGTTCGAAACCGCCTTGCAGGAAATATTCAACCCTAGTTGTAGGCTACACTTCACACACACTCTCAATGCGTGAAAAACTGCTAAGACTTGACCTGCGAGCGTGACCCGATCTTCAAGGACTCATGTAGTTCTTCTCAGGCAGACCTCAGAGGTCCCCAAACTGAGTGAGCGGCATACTCTTCCTGGCCATCTTCACCTTTCTTGAGGCCGCTAGCCGGCCAGGCTCCGTCCAGGTGTTTGCGATACCTGGATTGTCAACTGATGGGTATCTGGAAGCAAGGCTGTCGCTTGTCAGGAAGCTTGTTGCAGGGAGCTTTTCATGATGAAATTGTGGAAATCCTATGCAAGAAGGTTCCTCAACGCTGCCTCGACGCGGCAACTACAATAGGAGCTTAGGCCGCTTGGCTCAGCTGGAGAACTCCGCGGAAACAACGGGGACATCCCACACGATTCACTCAAGCTAGCTGAAGGACGCAAGGACTACATGTGCACCTTGCAAGGGCAGGTACAAGGACAAGCTTCACAAGGCGGAGTTGCAAGTTGCCGGAAAGGTAGCGGTAGAAGCGCCATCTGCGATTGATGCCCAAGAGCCTGGTGCACAGCTTGAACTCTCCCCATAGGAACCAACGCCACCAAATCTCCAAGGATCGGCTTGATCGCTATGAGATGATTAAGAACTTCTGCTGAATGACACTCCTGCGCGTTAGCTGGTGTGCCGGGCGAGCTATGGAGTCCAAGAAACTTCTCGCCACCCAGCTCACTCGGAAGCAGGTGCTTGATGCGGTCAAACCTGAGTGCAGGCGACCTACAGTTTGCAAGCCCCAACAGCTGACATGTTTTGCTCAACCCAGCAAAACATGAAATTAAAGCCTCGTGCACGTCTTACGGATTTGTCTGACTTCCACCTTACTGCATGTACAACCATGGCATATTCAGTCTTATAGCAGTGTTCCTCCGCGACAACACTATCCTCCCAGAACCGCAGGTGGTTGTCATGAGGATGAGAATGAAGAATAGTAGCAGGCTGTCCACATCCACTACAGTAGACGGCCGTCCACGCGAAGCTTGCAGGTCTTGTCTGAAAAGGGCTCATTCCTGCCACAAGCAGCCGAGGCACAGGGCGCTGTTTTGAAGATCCTGAGTAGCTGGCAGTTGTGTATTTTGACCCGCTCCTGTGCGAGGATGATTCGCATGTCCTAGTGCAAATGTAAGGTGTCCTAGTGATGGAAGAAAAGGTCATGGAATCCTCCCGTGCACGCAATGGGAAAGCAGTGTGAGAAGACAAGTGGGCGCATTGCTTCCCGAGCACGTTGGCCATGAGAACCACATTGTGCGCCCGCTCATCCAGCTCGGAGGACAGAGGCACGTCAGGCCTGTATCCTGAGCTGCGCTGTTGGAGAGATCTCTGCGGCAAAGCGAAGCTGGCGAGGAGACGTTCAATGCTGCAAGAGCTACAACATCACGCCACGGACCCCCGTTGCTACGACAGGTTTTGCAATTCAAACTTTATCGTAAGAAAATCTGATTTTGACCTCTAAACGCTGCCGCGCTCTCATGAATGGAGCCAGTCTTGTCGGAACTAGGGTAGGAGATGTTGGATAGATGCCGTTCGTAGCTTCCAGCATCCTGCAGCTCTCCCAGGAGGCTAACCGATCATGGTCAACTTGACGCGAGATGACTTACATCCTGAAGAGAAAGCCATGCCAAGACTCCCATCGCTTCGGTGGCCTGCCGAAGCAGATCGCATTCCTGGAGTCCCATCCATAGCGCAATGCGCTAATGCCAGATAGGGTCAAGCTTGCAGCCAGATGCTTGGATGTCTTCAGCGACTCTAATAGCCTAACATTCGTCGACGAACGTTTGTGCCGGACATGGAAGGGTAACAGTCCTGGGGCGCGAGGACGTCGGACAGCACAAAGGCACCCGGCACTCCTCAATGCCATCACATAGTGAGTACACATCGATGACCGATGATTCTGTTGTGCTGCATGGCTACTGCACCAAGCAGGACAAGAACAAAGGAAGTGTTTAGCAACAAGGTCCGATCCTCATGAAGATCGCCTCCATATAGCTTATATACATGCATTTATCATGCATTCTGTAATCCGCAGACGCCTGGGAGTTCATGACGCTGAGTGGGGCGTGGCGGCCGCACATTCAGCTGCAGAGCAGTGGGCGGACCTTGCAGAAAGACCCGAAGCCCCAGCACAAATGTAACGAGCTTGGAAATAGAGATTGCTGAAAATCTGGGAGTCTATGAGGGCATGGATATGCGTACGAGTAGTGATAAGAAGGGCATCCGCAGGGGGTTCAGCTCAAGCACCACACTTCGGGACCCTTTTTGACACTAACCACCAAACCGTTGAACTTCCAGTCCCGCTCACAATCAAAATGTCCACCTGCTCTACGAATCAAAGTCCAAAAACTTGCGTCACTGCCACAAGGGCCCCATGCAATCTACAATCCCTAGATCCCTATGACACCACAACTTTGAAACCCTAAACCCCAAAAAAAACGTAAACCCTAAACCCAATTGCCAGCCAGTAGCACATAAAAATGTCTAGGTCGTAGCGGTTTGGCGGGAGCCGATCGGCTGCCGCCTCATGCGCCAGGATGCGCCAATCACCTGGCCTGGCAGGGTTTCGGGTTCAGGGCTTCCTTTGAAAAATATTAGTATATAGGGTCCTTGTGACACCAGTAAGGGAAAACATCTAAATATTCCAAAGGCCAACGCAGCAAGAAGAGCTGTTAAACTTCGTCCTGTCTCGTTTTCGGATCTTTAGGATGTCTAATTAAATGGCATCCTTCGAAAACCCCCCATTTGAGCTATAGTCTTCACTCCTAGTATCCCCCCTTAATGAGCCCTATCGTAGTCCCCTATACAACCCCCATATATAACCCCCTTCAAGGAGTCTTTACTTAGGGTCATTTCATCAGAATCAATCGTAATAGCAACAGTACCAGCTCAGAACTGCAAGCTGGCTGGGCTTGCAAGCGGCAGGTCTGCAAGCTGAAGTTATTGTAGTCCCCTATACAATCCCCTATATAACCCCCCTTTAAAGGAGTTTTAGGGTGATTTCATCCGAACTACTCTGGTACATATGAGTACTGGAGCTGGAATGCCCTTTTTCAAAAATGTGTTTAGTGCTTGCGGGGTGTCATTTCAGAGGGAGACTAGTCGTTGTAGGGCATCTTCGCCTTTCTGCCACCCCAAATTCCAGAGCCAAGTTCGCATAAGCAGCTTGCAGATACGATTCGGCGGATAATATGGCTTGAGTGTTTCTGGCAATGGGACAGTCATGACTCGCAGAAAACAACAAGCTGGACTGTTGCCATGCAAGAAGGAACTGGTGGACTAGGCGGTTCGAAAACAAGTCGAAGTAGACCACGAAACACAAGGATACCAAATGGGTCTGCACCGGGAGGCAGCACTTGAAGAACAGAAGGAAGACAGCATGGCCAAAATCTCAGAATTGCCTGAACGATGCGCCGGCAGCCGAGGCAACAACTTCAGCTTTGCCCTTACCTCGGGATCAGGTCAACAGCACGCTCTACAATCCTTTCAAGTTCTATGGCCTGAAATACATGTCCGATTCCCATTGCTATGGCTTGATTGCAACATCCCCTAGACAGCATGTTGAACCTACCTTGTTCAATGAGCTTCTGCATTGAGTCTGAGGCAGCATGCCATGGAGCTCGGGCTACGGGCAGAAGATGCTTGCTGGCCCCCTTATGATGATTATGGCCACAATCTGATTCTGAAAAGCTGCCAACAATATCATCATCAAACAATTCATTTCTAGTGTGACTATGGTGTCACGTGTCATTACGGCATCTGGTACCGTTGCACCTCTTCCTGCCCCACACACGAAACACAGAAGGAGCAAATGCCGCTTGGCAGCTTGCTCATCCATCTTCGAAGTGGTATTGAGCGAAAATTTAAAGATTGATGTGCTAGGTATTTGGTATTAGGTAAATTCCAAGTGCTAGGGAAAATCAGCTCACCAACTCCTTCTCTGGCTTCTCCAGTCCTTAGCTACCAAGCCAAAGCCATCATCAGAAATTAAGCTTCAGCCCAGACGTCCAAGGCGGCAACTCAGGGTCTCGGGCAGGCCATCTTCGTTTTTGTTCTCATCCTGTTCATCCTCCTCTTGCCACAGCCTTACTAGACAAATGTTGCATCAAGATAATGTACGATCGGGAAGCACACCTCCTGGAGGTGTCAGTTACATTCTCTTGTGTTGACTTGCTGCACGTCAGACAAGCGGCTCATTGCAAACCAGGGCAGCAATGATAAAGCCCCCACCAATGCAATCGCCGAGGGTGAACACCTCCCCAAGGTAGAGCATGGCAGCAAGAGCAGCCCAAAGCGGTTCCTGTCACAAGCGGGTCTGGAAGATCAGCCCAAGGCAAATATGCGCTGACGAGAGTCTGACATGACTGTGTGGCTCTGAGGCTTCGGCCGAGGCCACGATCAAGGAGATCTGTGACAGGGCTGCGCTTGATAGGAACACTTGGCACCGCGTCTACTAGCGTTATTCAATTACCACTCTTACTGCCACTGACGATGCTGCTGTGGACAACGGCCTTCCGAGAACACATCTACTTCGCATGTCAGACGGTATAGCATCAACAGTTTTGCTCTGCAGCCCCGTCAGGAACTTGTGACGCCAGCCTCGGAGACTTTCACGAACTGTATGGCTCGATTTGCCAGAAGCATGGTGACGACATTGCCCAGGAAGGTTGAGAAGAGAAGCGGCGGCCAAAGACCTCAACAAGATGGTCAATATAAGACTGGCAATGTGCGCAATCATTCTTCAGAAAAGCATCCTCATAAGCTTCACCCAGGGCAGGACCCCATCTCTTATCAGAAGAACTCAAGCCGTGCGGCCGACAGCCAGGCTTCGAAGCAAGATACAGATGCGAAAGCAGCGGCTACGGCTCTAAGATTTGGGGCGTGAAAATAGCTGTCTACAGGTGGAATGATTTCCCTCCGTTTGCCCTCGAAATGACTGCTTCATTAACTCCCAAAAATTCCTCAGCTGCACTTGTACAAATTGCTGCCTGGGAGCCAGGAGTTTGCAAAAGCACGGGTGCTTGGCCAAGCCAGTCTACTACCTTCGCGATGTACTGCAAACATTGAGACAGTATGCAAGAAATAAAGCACACAGAGGTATTGATATCCTACATCATGAATGTTCAGGAGCACAAGTGGCACCAAAAGAAGAAGAAAGGCTTACATGATGGCAAGAGAGCCACGCCAGACGCCCCATGCTTCCAGCCAACGTCACCAAGCGTCCACACCACAAAAAGCACTGTAAAGCACACAAACTGAATTGCCACAGATGGAAGAGCGTCGTCTGGATACTTCTTCATCGTTCCTCCCAGGATATACCATCCAATTCCTATCGCGAGCGGCGCTGCAGAACAGATCAAGTCGCCTTGGAAGCGTACTCCCCTGACAGGAATGCTGACCCTCACCCCACTGCTTACTTCTATATTAAGACAAGTCTAAGGACAAAAGCTGAGCCACGAAACCACCCTAGGTTGGTGTAGCTCGACGATCTAGGAACTGAGAGAGCATGAGAAGATCTGATCTGTCTAGCAAACCGCAAATGCTGAATTCAATCTTAGTCACCCAAGGTGGTCTCCATCGGGCCCCCTGCCAGCTCGAGGAAGCCCACACCGACCACAGCCATGATGGCGGAGACTACAGTGCCAAGCTGAAATCGCTTCGTAGCTAGCGAAGTGCAAGCAGCAACAACAATCGTCTGCAGGGACGTGATGAAAGCAGCCTTTCCTCCAGTCGTGCCATAAGCATATGAGGTAAAGATGGCTGCATAAGAAAGCCCATTCAGGCTGCCGACAATTGCACTGGTTCTGGCGCTCTCTGCAGCGCTTGAGCGCAAGACCCATGGCAGGAGTGGCAGCGCTGCCAAGCCAAACCGTAGAGCACCGAAAACGATGGGAGCATCTTCTACGCCTGCCGCACTGAGCGCATCGATGCCAGCCTTTGAGCTGATGTATGAGGAGCCCCAGCAAGCTGCGTTGAAAACAGTCACGGTTTTCCACAGTCCCTCGCCTTCCCAGTCGTATTGCGACTGGGGAGCATGAGTGTTGTCTAGTGGATCTGTCGATCCAAAACGAACTGTTTGTCGCAGGCGATCAGGTTGGTGTTGCCTCCCCGCTGGCACGAATGGCGAAGAGGAGTCTTGGTAGCCTTGCCATGCTGTCCAAACTTGAAAAATTAGCCCAATGCCAGAGGCCAGGAAAATCAGTCTCAAGGGCCTACGAAAAGCTGCATCTTTGCGCAGCATCAGCTTTGAGCGGGCTCTGTACAACTGCTTGGACCACATATCTCTCAACTGCGGAAAGCCAATGGCCATCAATTTCTTTCGAGCCTTGGAAACTACAAGCCTCGAATTTTCAACAGCATCAGAGAAGCCCTGTCTAGCCGTTAATGGGTAAGGAACACCAGAAGGCTTCGCAGACAAGCCTTCATACAGTTTGTGCTACATGGCTCTGTCCTGACCTTCTTCGATTGTCTTTGAGATCCAGCATCTGCTTTGCATCACATTAACCCTGCTTGCCAGGGCTTGCACGCGCAAATCGGAAATGGAGCCTGTTGCTGCCGGGTTGCGGATGAGGCTGAAGAGCTTGTTCCTGGGCAACAGAATCATCTAGCGATGTCATAACAATCTTCAGCAGGTTGATGATAGGCAAAGGAACTACAAGTCGACAAGCTCCCTCTAATGCACACTCTGCCAAATCTTCAATTCCAGGACCTCACGGGGACACGGAGCTGAGCTACAACTCGACATGAACTACACGTGGCACCCTTGGCATGTACCAAGGACTGGTTGAGCATGCTGGCTCCTGCCTTTTCGGCTTTGTGTGCATCCGTTGCAACTCATGCCCTACTTGCTTGTGCATATCTGGAGCACTGGACAAAGTGAATGCAGCGCTCGACTGTTATGATGGCGCACGCCTTCATCAGCAGGAGATGAGCAGTACAGTTTCCAGGCCAGAAAAGCATGCTGACTGGCTTGGCCTTTGCAACACTTAGCATCGGCTCATCCGGTCCCCATATTCAACATCAGGAACCAACCGGAATGCCCCAACCAAACTCTGATTGGTGAACTGCAGGCAAAGCTCGCCATAGAGGCGACAGCACCCTCGGCAGGCTTCGGCTTCGGGCTTGGCGGCGCCTGGGCAGCAAGCTTTTCCAGATTATGCGGGGGCCTGGGTAGAAGGACGAGGACTTCTACCCCAAACAAAATACAAAGTACGTTTTCCTAACTTTCTGCCTTTCATGCAGCCGCCAGGTACACAGGGGTATGCCTATTGCTGTACTGTGTTCGTGCAATGGACGGGGCAAGAAACGGCCCTGGTAAACATGCTGCATTCCGCCGGCAAGCGGGTCCAACTTATCTCGAAAGCATTACCCAAACTTTGTCAATCATATTTGTAAGCAGTGCGTCGACACTCCTTTGGTCTTGCAGACCGCGCAAGCCTTCCAATCCCAGACGACCAAGCCAGTAGATCAAGACATCACCAAGACATCAGCTGACACACACCTTCTTGCTTGCGCATGTTGAATCTCCACTCAGCGGGCAATGTCAGCACATCTCAAACGAGCCACCCCAATTGGCAAAACCTACTCCGGGGGATCCCCTACATGGGACTCTTGAAGTAGGTGCCCATGATTTTCACGGCAAATGAGCTGACCATCTTCCACCTCTGCAACAGCAGCCGGCAAAGTCGGCTGCCACGGCGGGATGAGGCCTTACAAGCTTCCTTTCCTACGGTTCGGGGTGTGGTAGCTATGCAGGCGTACCACAAACAGCCAGGGCTGTGATTCCTTCCTTCTTAGACTCTTGAACTCTTCCTAGCCAGACTACAACTCCCTGTGCGATGATTATTTCCGCTCTTTACGGACGGACATAAAAGAACATGTCGCCTTACCGACGAGATCCCCTGAGTCGGCCCCAAGTATCGTTTCAAAATGGAGTTACGTAAGAGAAGCTCTGGGCAAGAGATCAACAAATCCAACATCCCAAGAAATCATTAAATGGAATCTAAGATACAATGCGCTCTCAGGCCTCCATTTTCTTGTTCATATTGCCTGGGTTACAGCATCGGAGCTAAAAGAACGTGACACATCGCAATCCTTGCCGGGGAGCTCAAACGCCCCTCTGTAGGTGCTTTGCTGGCTGGACCCAGACCTGCAGCTACTCGCATCACCTCAGGCTTTAGGAAATGGAGATTGGGCCTAGGGCCAAAGATGCAAACTGGGACATTTCATTTTTAGGTCTGTAGGGTTCATGGAAAACATGAGCCTAGCATTTGATACTTGTGGGCTTCGGGGCCTCTCTTGTCTCAGACATGTATACGGTCTCATGCTAAGACACCATCCAGTTGTGCAACTAGCTCTCCAAACCACAACTTCAGAATCACTATGCCTGAGACTCTGCATGAATGTTTACACCGGGACCATTCAACGGACCCATGAGCAAGACCTCTCAGACTTATCACAGCCGTGAAAGGAACAGCACTAAAGAAAAGAAGGAAGATTCCCAGTGGCCGCGTCCAACATGAGAAGCTCTGAAGGCTCACCTGCATATGCAGGGGAACTTGGTTGTAGCCAGATAGGAGGGCCTGTGGGTACAGGGTGTGGGTTGTTCTTGCCAGTTTACGCTCTCACTCCTGACAAAAACGGCTACGAACAGAGGTCAGGGGCTCCGGTCCAACCGACGTCCTGGCACCTCAAGATCTCTGGAATTGCAAGAGCCTACTCGCATCATACATTGAAAGGACCCTGATTGCTGTCTAGCGTGATTCCCCACTCTTCACCTGAAGGATCTGCAGCAGACATGGCTAGAAGTATGAGGGCAATTGTGCTTGGAGCCCTTCTGCTAACACACGCAAAGACCAGGAATGCGCATTGGTAGGGAAGAAGGCGTGGCGTGGGAAAGTCAGAGGCAACTCAACTCCAGCTTGCCTTCTGCCACGTTAAGCTCCCTTACCTCAAAGAGCGGATCAAAGCAGCAAAGTTATGGGTCTGACTCTTGCAATGCCAATCTTGCCTCACGACTCTGTGTATGTATAGGTCCGGTGCATATACAAAGGTAACATCAACATGAACAAGCATTCCGAACAAGACTCTTGGACTTTGGGATACAAACCGGGGCTAGGCACAATGTTGTTCAAAAAGGCCTGCATGTGGAGTGGATAGCCCATCGGGCCACTCAACAAGCCCAGAGCATGCCAAACCCAGGCGCTCAGTGCACTGAAGCTTCCTTGTCTGAAGGGCCAGAGCAGCTTGCACATAATCTTTATGGAAGTGAGCCCGTGATCCCGCCGCATCTGTGTATCTGCAAAAGGTGCCCTGGCATGTAAGGAGATAAGAACATTGCTCGTCGGGATGCCCAGCGCTGGTAGGCGCCCAGCTTGGGGCGCTTTGCTACCTGCAGATTTGGGCCACACAAATATCTCAAAATGATACCTACATGATCCCATCATGGCTTTTATGATCACCTTATCATCCCTATACATCACTTGGGTCCCTCAAGGGCCCATTTGGGAAACCTCCACGCGGCTTGGAAGGCTACTCGGCGGGTCAGAGGGTTCTACATCCCAAGCTAACATGCTAACCACTGGATGTAAGTGTACATCTGTAGATTGCCTGGGTATTGAAGTACTGGCTTTTGTTGCGATCAAGACATCCGAACCTGCCTTTTGGAAAGGTGCCTGCAAACCAAGTGGTCCGAGGGGACCACATCGTCAAAAAGAAGGGGACGGCTTGTTCAAAAGACTGCAGCTAGGTCTTGCGTGCCATTGCCTATTTGCATATCTATATGCACCACTACAGTGAAGCTCCGAAACATGATTCTTGACAGCTTGTAGGAATACCCAACATGCCACTTACACATGCACCTCTTCGCGCTTAGGCCGAATGCCCCAGCAAATTACCAGAGCACCGTTCAATGGGATCTGTGAAGTGGGGAAAAGACAGCATCCCCGCCTCAAGGCTTCGTAGTTCACTCAGAACTCGTCTTGCTTCCGGCCACCGGGGCCTGAGGAAGGCACAGGCAGGGGGGACAGGTTGCTCAAATGTATGTATGATGTCTAAAGACCTGGGCAGGACTAACAAAAACTTTGCAGTCCAAAGTTTGCCTGTACGACTATGACCGATCCCGCTAGCTTAGATAGCAGTCTGGGAAGGCGCGTGCCACGATCAGCCAAGAGGCTTTTGCCCCAGCATGCATGTTATACCTCAGCACTTAGGAAATGCAAATGCAGAAGCAGAAAACTCGCGCACATCAGCAAAAAAAAATGCAGGGAGAGCGATTGTTGTTTGCTCGGCGGACCGGCAGGGCTCGCGACGCCAGATCCAAATCCGCATGCCACCGTCTAAAGTAGCTACGCACACTCGAGCGCAAGACTCAGTGAGAGAAATCCAGACGCACCCGAGCCTACTAACCTTACTGGTGGCTAGGAAGGACTATGGGTCCAGGGGAATTAGGACTTGCCCCTGCCTTGCCCCAATCTCTAAACGGAAAGCCATTAAAGAATGCAGTAGCTTCAATGTTCTCTTCCACTCCCCCTATACTATAAGTAAGCCACCAACAACGCTAAACTCCAAGGCCAAAGGCCCGAGTAATTCACTGGCTTCCATTTCCAAACGCATCTCCAAGATGCGGAAGGCAGGTGAGGCCTTCTCCTCCCTTTTATGGGCCTCCAGGTCTGGGGCAGCAGGGGGGGAGATGCTCAAAAGCCGTAAATGAAGGGTTGCAAAACAGAAGGGCTCACAACATTTTGTCTTTTCAAGGGTGACCCAAAATCTTGGAAACGTCCAAATGAAGGCACTGCAAGGGCTTTTTGCGTCAGATTATGTATTACATATCCTTTGCCAGGTTGTATGTAGGGTCAGTACCATTCCAAATGCTAAGCCGTCGAAAGCAAGAGCCCAACACATACCCAGAAGTCATTACCGCGGCGCCAATGACGCAATGTAGAGGTCAAGCTGCCAGTCCGCGCAACCGTTTGCTAGAAAACTAGCATACAAGCTTGCTTCCCCAGAAAGACGCTCATGCGACATCAAGAGCCTCCACCAGCGGGTGGAGGGCAGAGCGCAGGAGTTTGCAGCTCGGAGTGAGGAGCCTTGATTCTGAGTTAAAGGAAATGATGCAACATAATTGTGATGAAGAGGACCACTACTACCAATGAAAGGGCTGCTTAATTGGTGGAAGTGAAATCGACAAGCGTCACCACAACCAGCACAACACTCACCACAAGGGTGGTCCCAAACGACAGT